AACAATATACAATATGCTTCAGTAATATCAGAAAACTCACAACTTCATCTAAGCAAGAAAGCTAGATCGAAGATTTCCAACATTTAAAAATTAACGGTTCACGTAGCAGTTGCGTTTCTTTTCTTCTTTTTTTACTTTTTCTACGGTGACTTATTATCACATTTAACACTACACTACGTTCAGGTCACCAGAAGAACAAGTAAAAAAAAAATGTTATTTTGGTGGCTTATAGAGTGTTATGAAATTATCACACACGACACTACACTACGTTGAGATTATCCGAAGAATAGGTTAAGAAAACGTTCTTTGGTGGCTTATAGGGGTGTTATGAAATTATTATCACACTTGGCGCTACACTACATTGACATCACCCTAAGAATAAGTTAAGAAAACTATACCATCTGATAGTAGTCACAGCGAAAATGTGTCTAAGCTGGTACTTTCTAGACTGATTTCAAGTACAAAAAAGGATGTTGTTTAGAAAACTAAATAGACCTATCCACCAACTTTGCTATTCTTCATTATTACTTCCTCGTGGTTAAAAGAATAAAGTATACTGTATCCAACTGACATAAAATATTTTATGTATTAAACACAGCTTGCCTCATCTAGGGTAATTAGTTACAGTTTTACATCTAATGAAGTCCGATCACACTTTATACTCTCATATTTCAATAGTAAATCTAACTAGTATCAAATTTTCCTCTAAACTTTTTCTTTTGTTTATATTTTATTGAGCGTAAAGCTACACAATGGGCTATCTGTACTGTGTCCACCATGGCTAGTGAAACCCAGTTTTTAGCGTTATAATCCTTCAGACTTATCGCTGAGCCACTAGGCGTGCTCTTCTAAAAAAATACGCTCTCAACAAGATTAAAAGAACAAATTTCTTGGTTTGGTTAATTCAATAGTGTGTAAATTGACGTAGGATTAACTAAAAACGTTGTTCAATAGTTTGTTTGTTCGTAGTTAAACGTAAAACTACACAATGAGCTATCTGTGCTGTGACCACTACGGTATCGAAACTCAATTTTTAGGGTTATAAAGCCTGCAGACTTACCGCTGTTCCACTGAGGGTAGAACGGCTTAAACTATTGAAATGCTGATAATAAGTGTATTTATAATAGTAGATTGTATTCAACACATCTTTGAGTGTATCAACTGCTAAGTGTCTGCTAGATATCTGCGAATCAATTAAATCCTGTTTGAGCGAACAAGCTATATATGTTATTATAACATATTTTATCCTTATGCAGGCTCTTTTGGATTATTTAGTTAAGATAATGCAACATTCAGTTCACGTAGCAATAATAAATTAATGTATTTGTTCTTTAACGTTTACTACAGTCATGTTCACTCTGTAGGCCTAACTTCAAATATAAAACTTACTTGAAAAATTTCTGGTTTAATGATTGGTAACATTGATTAACTCACTGTTTAACTCTAAATTATAACACCTCTCACACATTAACTGATACTGAATTAACTCAATAACTCTCTTCTTCACTATTTAATTCACTGATTCTGGTATTTATATTGTACCCTAATTTCTATATAGTACAGGAAATTTCTAGATTCGACAAAAGCCTCAACTTTCACGAACTTTCTAGATATCGCAACATGCGCCACTGGAAACCAAACATCTAATTAAAATATCTGAAATATAGTTTACTATAATTTATATATTTATTTATATAACTTAACCAAAGCAACCTAAAAACGGCCTTATAATAAATCCACTTAAATCTCAAACAAAATACGCCTTGCATGTTCGTAAATTAAACTAGAGGGCGAAGGTTATGGGATTGATGATTAGTCTTTATAATATAAAATTATAATAATTCAACACTCACCGTAAGCTACTGAAGCGCCTGAGGCATACTGTACTAAAATATAAAACAGAAATGTAATTATTTGTACCATACATAAAACATATATAAGTAAAGTATCGTGCTACGAAATAACACAGAATAACCTTCAAAGGTAACAATAAATAATTTTGCAAGTTTGTATAGATTCGAGTGTGATATTTTTCCAAACTTTTAAATGTCTATTTTATTCTGTTTTGATTTTTTCCTCTGAACTTTTTAATCGCACCATCAAGTATTATTTTGAGATATAACATTAATACATAGTGCACTTAAACAGGATTCGTAGGTCTTTACATTTTTTTTATACGCGGTATATTTTGATTGGTAGTTCTAAACCTCGTTGAAAGGCCCACTTGCAGCATCTCAGTAGGAATATTTTTCGTTTAATTGTAAATGCACCTAGAAACTCAATACAATTTAATCGTGATTGGGATACTCAATTTACATACATTCTGGTGTTTAATGAATTTATCTTTTTTATAAGTTATTGGTGTTGTATTAAAAAGTTATAACAAAAATATCAGATAAATTTATATTCTAATGCTGTTCCATTACAGGTATTAACTACTTCACGTTATTACCTCCTAAACTGGGAGGAGGTTAACCAATTATGTTTTCTAAAAGTAAATAAACCTAACCCCGTCTTGTACTGTGTTTTCTCTAAGTAATTTAATCGCACATGATGTTTGCATGTGTATATATCCTGTATCGTGACTTTCCGTGGCTCCAAAGTCAGAGTAGTCATTAGACATAGGATAATTTATGCATAGGTCCTATTATAATAATAATATATATAACTGAAAAAGAGTCGCACGCTTCGGAAAAGCACTTTAAAAACACTGAAACTTGTCAAAAGTCTAAAATGTTCCAAAACTCACGTGACTTCTGCGAGCATGTACCCAAAATATATTGTGAAGAGAAGGATTTAAATTTCAACTATTTCTAGCAATATGAAACATTCTAAACACTACGATAGCACAACACTTATTGTTATCAAAACTAATACAGAATTGATTACGTCATATTGAAACCATTTTCGAGCATCAACACGTCTTTATAGTCCATTTCGCCACGTTCGGTCATACTCTATCTGGCAGTCATGCATCTTGACAATAGCTCTGCAGCAGTATTTCCATTGCAAAAACGTCCTGCTCTAAGGCTGTCATGTCAAAAGTACACCATACTCACTGCATGTTTTCTGTTAAACATCTAGTGTACGAGAACGACGGTTTCCCAGCGCCTGTTTCAACAGTCCAATTGCATAGAAATCCATAGGCGATTTGCCCAGTATATCTTCGTATGGAATAGCATGAATAATAGTTTTACTCTCTACTTGCTTGAGGTATGCGACGGTTTAAATGATATATCGTGGAAACAACTTGGGAGCACTTGACTTGTTTGCTTTTCCAAACAGAAATCCTTTTTGGTAATGTAGCGTACTGTTTTCTTGAACACGTGGACGGCTTTTGCCACTGATCTTTGTGTTCATGGATTCTCATATGTTACAAGACGTCGTACTTTCCTTACAACTGCTGGGTTATGACTTGTTACAGGGCTCTTTATGGGTGGTCCTGGTGTTCCAAGTTGATCTATGTTCATTTGTTTTCCAATGAAATTATGTACAAGGGATATTTCCATTTTCGAAATTCTAAACTCCCCACCTAAACACGTCATTACAATCTAAAAGCGTGAATATTTTACGTCGGAAAGCGCTGCTACATGCCCTTCCCAAAAGCGATCAGTTTTCTGTGGCATCACACTACCCAAACAGTGTCAAAATATAGTTCTGATACAATCAGTTTTACCATAATTTTATATCGGCTGTGACTGTTAAGTGACGACTTGCTGATTTGCATATTCAAAATCGTTTTAATATAACGTACTTAACCCTCTGCATTCTAAAATTATTAATATTATTTTCTTTCTTACAAAAATAAATAGCGATTCAAAATACACTAAAAATTCCATTCGAAACATAAATATAATTAAAAACTTACTTATGGTAAAATGAATACCCTGTCCTATGGTTCTTACGTTTTCGGAAGGAAATATCGTTAGAGTGTATTTCGTCTGTGGTTTCAATTGCGCTATATCAAAATTATTTGTCTCGGTACTGACAGATAAAGTCTTTGCCTCAGTAGCGCCTTCAGCCTGAATTTGTGCTTGAACGGTTCTCGTTTTCCAGCCATTTCCATCATAAGACCATTGCACTTGTACAGCGCTACTGTTCAGAGCTTCCACTGTAGTGACTATTATTCCTGCTCCTACACCTGCTTCCAATGTACAAGAAACTAAATTGTAGGTTAGCTGAATTGAATATGGGGAAAACTATTAAATCTATAATAATAAAAAGGAACTTTTAGTATATTTTGTTCTACTTAGTTCCATTACTGGTTTGTTAAAATATTTTTGGAACGATTTTATACCTGGACTATACAAAGAATGGTAGTTCTTTAGACGATACTTTATGACTTCACAAACGAAAACAGCTAAAACATTGTACAAAACATTTTCCCATACGGCCGTGTATTCTTGCGTATATATATTTTCTTTTACTTAATTATTGTGTTTTTATAACGTTTTGTGTCTGAAGGTTTCAACTTAAACAATTTATGCATTCAATTAACATTTTTCTTTTTAGAAATCTTGAAAAAATACTTGTAGTTACTACACTATTTATTAACATACAAAGTAACAAATCATCTATTACTTATTACGTAATTAGGAACATCATTTGTCCTTTCTATTGATCCCAGAAGCTACTTTCATGTTTATAAATAACACAGGCCTGCG